CTATAGCTAACATAGGTGCTTTTTAGGTGCATCGTGGAGCTTTAACATCCGCCAACATAGTTCCTGTCGATAGGAAAATAATACCTTCAGGACGACTCGTTCTCGCTGGAACTGGTGCGTTTCCGCATTGTTGTCAATTGAAAGCCCGCAATCCACTCCGTCATATAAAAGGACAGTTGACCGTATTAAACTTTTTAATTCCCCATTATCGGCTCGCCAATTTAGTCGTCCCTTAATTGAATGAAAAAGATATGGTTACTAAAATTTTTCACTGATACGAACTAAAACTAGCTGACCACGCTTAGAGAGGTGGAAAAGTCACGGAGCTCTATAGGTTTCTTCACGTGTTCTTATCTCTGTATCGTCTTCAGGCCCTGTGACGAGAGATATTGATGATGTGCGTCGTTTCCAAACTGCAGCGAGGAATGGTGTTAAATTGTGAGTCTTTCCTTGGAATGTACCAACGCAAACGGAACGCGTATAAGGCATCATGGTTGAGACCCTTCCTTAGTCGGTTTGAAGTAGAGGTCGATACGTCCGTGCTTGTTGCTATTGCAGTTGCTGGGTCTCTGTTGCACGCTTTACTGCTCTCAGACGGGCCTGAGTTGTGTAACTAGAAGCTCATTTTCAAAGGGGAGGAAAAGGAGGGAGATACAACTCAACGAAGCATAACTTCCTCATTTTTATCGCGTAATGTCAGTCAGCTTTTGAAACATGGGTTAGGCACTGCGGGTTTGGTTGATACGTGATTCGCTGTTGCTAAATGACGCACGTTTGAAAAGGGAAAAAAAAAAACAGCATAGCGGAGTTGATTGTGGTTGATCGTAATAAGTAGCTTTAATCGATTTGTTGGCGATTCAAATTCAAGCTTTCACAATGGGAAAATTTGCACCAAAGATCATAGAACTCTTTAACGTGGTAAATCGAAACTACAGCGAATAGATGGCATCATCTGGCATCTTAAGTATAACTTTGGGTAAATTCATTCAGGCCTCGATCGATAAGATGCATTCCACCCCCCACCCCCTTCCACCTTGCGGCTTGCACTAGATTAATTAGCCACTTGCACATAAACAAATGAAGAGCTATCTTCCACACCTTCATTTTAATGCATATTTATCTCCGAAGTACCCATTTTCGGTGTTATGTGTGGAACAACTTATCTTCAATTCTACATTGCTCCGTTCCTCGTTATCTGAGCACCTGCTGTCAATTAGCCCAGGAAAGAAAAAAGCACAGACATTTTTTGAAGGGTGGGCCGCAACCGAAGTAATTCTCCATGAGGCATTCCGCGGGATATTATCTGGAGCGAGCAAACGGCGGGTGGAGAAAGAATAGAGAGTCCACTATAGTCGCATGGGAAGTTGCTATCTTTGATTTTGTGCTCGTTCTGCCCGCAGAAATGCTTCGCATGCAAAACCTACCTCCAGCAGCTTCGTCTATCGTCTCCACTCATCCTTAATGTCTTCATTTTCTGATCCCTCTCTTTCCGCCAATATCAATTAGTGCTCTAGGATCTGCCTCGTAGAATGCTGCTATTTTTTCAGTACAAAGTATAAATATATAAATGTATAAGTGTAAAGTATCTCTTGTTTAACATAGCCCATGCATGAGATATTTAGAGCCTTATCCGCTGGATTCAAATCTCCTTTATTGGTGACGGTACCACATCCGAATTATCCCCATGCAGAACTTGTATCCGCACTGGGCGCTCTTCTTCCGCTGTACACACCCTTGAACGTTCGTGAAGAAGAGGAGCCAAACAAGTTTGAAAGGCTTGGTTTGCTGCCGGTAAGTTCATCGCATAAGTCTGATAATCTTTCGTAGTTGCAATGCCCTTTACAATTGCCGCTTAACTTGTTTTCTCTTCAGAATCTGTATTTCGGATTCCTTTATCATAAATGGTCTAGAGCTATATTTTTGAAGCTACACAATTTTTCAGATCGGTTCTGAAAACCTAGTGAAACTAGTGGAGGCATTTGAAGCATCATTTACCGTATGTCGAGATGTTGGAGAAACTGGACCGGAGCGAATGTCACCGCCTAAGGTGGCAGATTATATAAAGGTAAGGCATATATTTTGGAGTTGATAGTTGTTCATGTTGTCCTGGAAACATCACTTTCTGTTATAAAACGTGTTTGTAATTGCGTTTCAGTCAGTTTTCGATAGCGGCGATATCACTGTGGAAATAACAGATAATCAAGATGTGATAAAGAAAGAGTATCCCATGATGGCGGCTGTCAATCGCGCTGCGAATACAGTAAAAGACCATCAGGTAAGAAAATTTCTTAGGTTTGCATAGAGGGTATTCTCAAAGTCTTGAACGAAAAATGAGCATGAGCCAGTTTTGGCGGTACCTCGATTGGTGGAGGAGTTTTAGGCGAGGTACCGCGATTAGGTGGAGGGGGACGGGGTGGAGGGAAAGAAGGCAGTTGTACCTCGCTTGTTCGTGTAACATGGGTGAACAGTACAACCCAATAATATGACTCACTATTCACTTCACGTCGTGATTTTTTTAGGCGGCAGTTCTCATTCGCCGTTGAGTTACGGGTCGGCGGAAGGACTATGAAAACCACCTACTTCTAGTCGGAAAGGCTTACCTCATGACACCGGTAGGCTTGATTTCGAGCGTTTGTGGATAATATTAACAGCTGACAAAACGTTTTTATAAAATGTGGGTTATGACATGAAACGGGGATGCGTCATCTGACGGGAAATGTGTAGTGAAGTTACCATTAACTGATGTATTCAGTGTGAGGGTTGCTGAGGTTGATTTTTTTGCAGTGCAAGTCATCAGTCTTCCACTGCATATATAATACTTCTTTTTCAATGAATCCTCTCACACTTCTCATGACCTCAAATAAATAATCTATTTTATGTGGTGTTGATCTGAAAACCGGCGGTCACATGTGGGGTATGTGCCGTGATAAATATGGAAGTGCCGTCGTTGCCGGATTTTTCAAAGCTTTGGAGCTGCTGAAGCCGAGGAATATCAAGGTATTTTTTGCTCAAGTAAATAATGAATAGAACGGGTCGTGTTGTTGCTCAGCCCGAATATGAGAGTGAAGGGTGATGATAAAACTGGGATAATTTTACGCACTTGAAACGAGGGTCTTCTCACTTGACTTGTGGTGCTCAAGAGAGTGACAGCGGCTAAGAGAGGTACTGGGCGCCGATGCGAGATTTTTTGGTCTGTACGAGTCAGCAGGCGGGGAGCGCTATACAGACGACTCAACATGGGCATGCCCTGAACTATTTCCTCTTCCCCTGCCGCCTCTGAGGGTTTGCGCCCATGATTTTAACCATGAGTTGTGCCATTGTGCGATGAAGTAGGTTTGCATCTGAGAAGTATCCCCGGCAAACAGGTACGCGTCGAGTGCACACCACACAACACAAGTGACGAAGTCCTCTAAGTAAATCTGATAATTAGTAGTCTACGGTGAGAGCTATAGTTGGAAAATGATAGTTGTAATTAGTGGCAGTGGCGGAAGCCAAGCGGCAAAGGAAGCGAGGTGTGACATTTTCTACTAACTCTGCTTGTATTAGATCAAATGGTCATATTTATAGCAAAACATCAAACTGTAGTAACCGTTCTCATTAGGGCGACTGAGGTTTGCAACCGAAATAGGATCAGAATTCAACAAAGTGCTATACAGATCTATATTTTAAAGAAGAGATGTATACCACTAGATGTGCCTTCGAACGCTGATCTCAAATCTACCTTCCAAATCTGCTAAACGATTCTCTGAATGGAGTTATGAAGCAAAACAGCGCAACGGCAGTGGTCGGGATTTGCAGTCAAAACGTCGTAGGATCGGCCCCTGATCGCGTTTACTGTCTTGCGTTCTTCAGGAATTAGGCTAAATAGGCTATTAAAGCCTTTTAGCTGTACTCCTGAAGAAGGCAAAACAGTAGACGCGATCAGGGGCCGATCCTACGACGTTTTGACTGCAAATCCCGACCACTGCCGTTGCGCTGTTTTGCTTCATAACTCCCTTCAGAGAATCGTTTAGCAGATTTGGAAGGTAGATTTGAGATCAGCGTTCAAAGGCACATCTAGCGGTATACATCTCTTCTTGAATGGCCATGGCGACCTGAGAGCCTTTCCTAAGAAAATTGCAACGCGTTTGTGTTCTCAAGGCGCTCAACTCAGGACTAAATTGCCTGAAGTGTCACTGCAATATATCAAGATCATGTTTAGGTGGTCGGTTATATGTGTATGGTTCGAAACAGCATCGGTTCTCATGGCTATACGACCGATGAAGTGCTCACAGCAAGGAGTGGAAAGCGAATTCACATCTACAATACAGACGCAGAAGGGCGGATCACAATGCTCGATCCGTTGACTAAAGCTAAGGAGGAGGTATAGGAAGAGATTCTGTAACCCTTTATTCAGAGAGAAGCCAATACACTAAATTTCCATCTATTCCACGTTCTTCTCTTACTGAGAAATTTGAGTATTCTATTTTCAGGCTCTTAACGAGGTTAATCCTCATTTGATGACAATTGCTACCCTTAACTGGGCATGAAGTATTAGCGTACGGGTACTATGCTGCCTTTATGGACAATGGTACCTCTTCCTATCGAATATTTCGAAAAATTCACATTCTAGTTGCTCCCTGCTTTAGGACCAGCGAAGCAAAGCGGTTGGACTCGTCGAGTTCAGGATATTGGAGATGCTTTTCGGTCAGCCTATTGAAATCAGTCGGTTGCAGCCGGAGGCAAGTTATTATTTAAGTGGTTGCTGTCGCTTTGATTTTATCGTCTTCTTTTTGTATTACGATGCTAATGACATATGTGTAGGGTTTTTATTTTGAAGCATGAACAGCTACAAAGTTTCTTAAGGTTTTGTTCCTTATGTGTTCTTGGCTTTACTCATAACATTTCAGGATTTCGATTTTCATAAGGCGGAGTGCGAGCAAGCACACATACGTCAAACTGGTCTGAAGCCGTCTGCTCAAACTCTGCGAGGTCATCAATGTCCGGGGGCATTTATGATCATGGTAAGTCATTAATATTGCATTCTTTGGTACTGTCATACATATAGGTATGTTTCTCGTGAGTTTATCCTAAATTGCGAATGCACAATTACATAAATTTCTCATTTCTGAGCTCTTTTAGGCATCTCGACTGGATGAACATGGGTGCGACAGCGACCATCCTTTGAAATTTACGCATATTGATATGGGCAGTGCAGCTGGCGAACATCCCGAAACAAGTTTTCCAAATCCGCTCGTCACCTTAGTTGCCGAGTAAGTTCCTTTTCAGACCTTGATGAAGTCCTAATTTTTCCCCATTTCCCTACCATTTCTGTAAACCTTTCTTCACTAATTGCCCTTTTACTTCCCTTATCTATATGTGATAATTTTTAGTTTGATTCTGCCGAAACATCAATGAGTTGGACGGGCTTCAAAGTCGCCATTCTTCCTCACTTTTAAAATAATTTATAAGTTGATGGAATCTGATTCTGCTTCGCTCATATTTAATCGGCTTCGCTACCTAAAATTTTTTGTTTGTTTACACCTGTTAACTCTTGCATTCTACGTCATGTTCTAGGACTTCTAAAGATTTGAAGCAGGGTGTTGTGCATTGAACATTCTCTCACCTCTCGTAAAGATCGTTTTATTGGTTCAATAAATATTGTGTATTTATGCTTTTTTCTTCTTTACTTCACTGGTGTGCAAAATTGTAAGGACGAGATGGATCTGGTGACATAACCCTATTATTAATCCAGTTGAAATGGAATTGGATGAAGCAGTGATGCACGCGCATTAGCTGGAAGTTTTCCAGTTTATGCACAGTAATTGGACTCATATATCATCAGTCTGCTTAAAACTGACCTAAAAGGTGCCCACGTGACTGAGGCGGTGGAACAGAGAAAGATGTAATGATCAAGGAGAAGCTACTTTAGAAACCGTGGTGTTGCTTGATACAAAATTCCTCGGATTACAACCTAGGTGAACTTTCCCACGAGTGAAGATCCAATGGGAAGAAGGTAAGAATGTCTACCTAATGTGGTTCATGCGAATTTGGTGTTTTTGTGTGTTCACATTGTTTTGTGGCGCATGGGTGGCAATATCTGGACCACTAGCTACTGCTGCCCGTTAAAGAGGAGGTGGAGGATCATGAAGAACTGCAACGGCAGGTAATTGCTGCCGCGACCTACGACTCTGCGGTGTGCAGTGCGCGGCGTTTGGGAGACCACACATCCTGCTATCGTGTGCCATTCGAGGACAAGGTGGCCGTTGCTTTAGAATACGGCGACCATAACAACGACCACAATGGACAGTGATCTGAGATGTCAGGACTGAAAAAGTGAATTCGAAGAAGATATGTTTTTAAGAAGAAGATAGGATAAATTTATGAAATATAATATATGAGGACATCAAAACTAACTTATATAGAGTCCTCAAACCTAGACTTTTCAGCAATTGGCTTAATAATGATATAGATATAGATATTTATAATAATAACTTTATAGAAGATTGTAACAAATATAAAAAGACACTCATTGTCCGCCCATTAGATAAAGCTTGTAATAGTTATGGAATTATATGTAAAAAAATTTATATTATAAGTATTATAAAAGGAATGGAATCAAGTATAAAGAAGACGGTACTATTACAGTCGATAGGACAACTAATTCCTATTCACATTTAACTTCAAATTACGATAATATAATAGATAAGCATCACCAATTCAACAAGAACATCATCTTTGTCTTGACTTGTCGGTGGTTGCATCACGACACAGGGGACTCCCAACCCTAACTCTCGAGCAACCGTCCTCCTACTCCGACCCTGTCTTCGAGGAATGAACCCGGAAACGGAACCGAATAGTTGTGAAAATAAGCATTGGAACCACCTTTTGCCATTAACACCTTATTGACTAAGCCTTCATGTATTAAACGAACACATTAACAATATAAAAAATGTGACGAATACCTACTTCCAAGATAACAGAGCGATAGCCTGAGCCCGTTCGGAACGCTGAGGACGAGAAGGGTAGTCGGAAGGAGAGGGGGTCGGCCGTTCGCGAAATGCCGGAGACCGAAGTCGAAGGAAAAAAATGCTGTATGTTTGTAGAAGCGCGCTGAAATGTTTAGCGCTCATTTACAATGCTTGAGTCTTGATTACATGTTGATTCATCATTGGCCTCTGAGCAACGCGATTTTTTTCTAGTCGAGCAGAGGGAGGTCGGTCACGACACTCCGGGGGGCACATGCATGAAGATGAACTCTGAACTACTTGGCGTCGACATGGTGAGGACTTAGTGTGATAGGGCCTTGCGCTTCGACCGAGCAATCATAGAAAATAACAAGGAGGATCAAGAGATGACAAAACACTTCATCAATTAGGAGGCAGCGAAAATATCCTGCAATGAATTACCCTGAAAAGAGGATGAGATATAATAAGAGAGATCAAAAAAAATGAAAAAGTACGCTAAATATCAACACAATAAGCTAACAAAAGTATGCTAAATGTCAAAACACAGTAAGCTAACAAGGCAAATGTCAAAACAATTAACGAGTTGAACACAAAATAAACAATTCTTCAGGAAATGTATGGTGCAACATTAGTGAATAAACTACTACTCGCGACGGGGTTCCTCGGGTTACGGGGTTCTGGGATCAGTGCTTTTTGTTGTGGACGTTCCGATAAATTGTCCACATCGCGTCGAAAAATATGTCGATGTCTCCGCTGACATCAACTTTCACGTCGGAACTTCTCGGGCAGATGGCTGGATGATGGTTGACGTCATGGCAGATTCTACAAGGGGCGGCGCGTTGACAATGACCTGGGGTGTGAACGTATAAACAACGTAGACAACGGCCTTCTGTGACGGCCTTCAAGCAGCGATCGGTGAGGCTAACTACTTTAGGGCAGTTGTTGGTGTAATGCTGCTCTTTGCAGAAATGACATGCTGAAGCATTCGTGGAGACGACCTGAGCTGTTGCTGTTCTTTCACGTCGACGTCCACCTGATGGGGAGCGGGACTGACGAACATGGGGTTGACGCGACAGACGGCACAACATGGTAACAGGAACGGAGCGTTCGGAACGCTGGTCTGCCTGACGGCTGGACTTGCGAGGGGGTTCTTCGACTGTGACCTCAACCGTTCGGATCGACGGCGTATCTCGATGAGGGTTTGCTGGGGTTGCGAAACCTTGGAGTATAATGCGTCGAGTTCTTCGGCTGTAGGGATGTCGACGGATTCGGCCGGTGCGGAGGAAAGTGGGTCGACATGCCAGCGCGTTTCCGATGTGCTTGAGATTGGTGTATCCCTGGGCTGTCGCTGTTGACGCCGTGACACATACGAGTTTGATGCATGCGATGGAGACCTGATAGTGACTGAGCATGTCCACTAGCTCCTTATTGTCTTCACTCGGGCTGAACACCTGCGGTAGGATGAGGTCTGTGAAGGTATTACGTTGATGCTGAACATTATAGACTAACGTGATGAGTTCTTCGTTGAGAAATTTAGCGTTTTGCTAGGATTCTTGAACTCCTCGGAGGCTTGTGAGAGTGAGTTGTTAAGTCGATGAGTTTCCGTGTTGCGGCGTCAAGGCCCTTGTAAGCTTGGATGATGAGGTAGATCGAGTACTTCTTTATTGGAGGATATTCCATTTCAGCTTCCGTGGGAACATATGCTTCGTCCACGACCCAGTCTCTCATGGTGGTGTAAAATGCATGTCGCAGAAATGCATCAACCATAAGCATATCGCGGGTGGAGAGGTGCTCGATGCTAAACGTGTGGTCGTAGTTTCGTGCCAGTGTTAGCGATTGCGCGATACGAAGGGACAACCTATGTTCGGGCGGAAGACTCCGATCCTCGGAGGTGTCATCATCGGTTGTAGAGTCTCCCTTGCTTAGATCTCCTGAATATCCTTGCGCGAGGAGAGCTACAAGTTCGTGAGGTACCCAGTCGCGTCGTGCTCGATTAGGTAAGGTGGTGGACTTAGGATCAATTAGTTTAGGATGGAGCAAAGGACGATATGACGAGCGAGGAGCCGGCGGCGGGTTGGGTGCGGAATCCATAGATTGGCGTAGAAGCTGGGATCAACAACTCGGCATCAACATCACTGTGTTGTTCATGTAGCCGTGAAGACGAGTTATCTGGACTCAGCAGGTCTACATTCATGGTACTGATCTGATGATGTAGTCCAGAAGACGAGCTACCGGGACTCGATGGGTCTGCCGTCATGTTACTGTTCTGATCATATGGTCGCCGAGACGAGGTGCCCAAGATCATGTGTGCCGCCATGTTACTGTTGAAATCATGTGATTGCAACGCACAAGTATTTTGATCATCGACGCCATAGGGGCGGCGGTCGCGCAACGGTGAGAAGGTATACGAGCTCCCTAGGGGTATACATGGAAGAGCATGAATGGGAAAGGTCATGATTGAAGAGGGGCCACATGGATTCGATCGCTCGGCCACCGTCATCAAGACGGTGACCGCGGCCGATGCACCAAATTGTGTCTTGACCCATCGGTGGTTCGGTCACGACACAAGGGGGACTCCCACCCCCACCCCGTCCTCCCCTACCCGACCCGTGCTGCTTCGAGTGAATGACCCAGCAACCGAACCGAATAGTTGTGAAAATAAGCATTGGAACGACCTTTTGCCATTAACACCTTATTGACTAAGCCTTCATGTATTCAACCGAACACACAACAATATAAAAAAATGTGACGAATACCTACTTCCAAGATAACCAGAGCGAATAAGTCTGCCCTGGTCGAAACCCGGTCTGAGGGAGCCGCGCGTTAGTCGGAAGAGAGGGAGTACGGAAGATACCGTGATGTCGGAGAACAAGAAAGCGAAATGAAACAAATGCTAAATCTTTGTGGACAAGCGCGCGCAAAGTTTACTTCATTTGAATGCGCTATACACCGTTGACATAGGTTGAGTTCCACACACCCCTTGGCCCTGACAACGCCTATTATATCTTCTCAACGTCGACAGATAGTAGGAGCGTTGGCACCGACACATATAATAAACATAATGGCTATTTTTCAACTATAGCCTTATATCATACCTAAAAATACATCAAGTCTCACACATCCATTAATTTAGATCATCAACTGACTAAAAATAGTATCCCCGGCCTACTAAACCACTTTCTATGGAGTTAACCAAGATCCTCTCTTTCATAAAAGATCAATTTATAAAATATAATATAATGATACAATTAAAAGTAGGAATACTTCTTTTATAGGTTATTGGGCTATCAATAACATTAATACTAGCGAACTACCCTGAAATAACTCCCTAAATCATATAGTATGAAACTTTTTTCAGATCTGATTTCACTAATATGGTTTGATAATCTAGTACCGAAACACCTTCGAACATATTACCAAATATCAAAAGGAATACTGTTCAATTTTGTT